AAATCAGGGGTAGGGGAACCAGTACATACTGATGAAAAGTGTACTAATGGAATAAGGCAGTCGACATGAATGGACAAGGACTGATCATATGGTATGCAATGCTGATGCGATGCTACTATGCCAGCTTATCCAGTGTGAGGGGTTATATGCATTGCATGGGGGACTTATGGATGACTAGAAAGGGAACATCCATACTGACCAAGAAGCACCTAGTAGCTCAGTGCAATGTTCCTTGAATTTACTTAAGAGTGAACTCTCTCGCAAAGAGGGAATTTTTGTGTATAGGTTTATGCTGGTGCTCCAACATTACCTCCCATTCCAAAAAAGAAGCTGCAGACGCTTCCAGGAATGAACAGCTGGGCCATGTCTAGGTTTTGTGGGTGATCAGAGATGATCCCTTGAATGCAAGATGTAACAAACTGTGGACTGAATTACACACTATCAAAGGCTAAGAGGGCACTGACTACTTCCTGCTGTGAGTCACACTGGCAGACTGGACCATTTCTCTTTGAAGGCTTGTGAGCAGGTGGCTTGGGTCCTCTCAGAGGCCTGGCGGTTTGGGGGATCTGCGCAGCATCTGATGACATCTGATTTTATTTGGAGTCTGCTGGAGCTAATGTTTGAGGTTTGGGGGATTACAACTCCTAATGCTGCTATTACCAGTGGTACCACTTTGGACTTTGTATCTTTCACTGTTTCTATATTTTCTCATGCTCCTTCTTCCTGATGTTGCTATCAACAACTACAAATCATAACTCTTCTACTCATTATCAGCATCCACTATATCAGGTTGGTTAGCCAGCATCTGCTTGTCTGTCTGGAACCTTATCCTTGTTGTTCTCAACAACCTTTAGTCTCCCATCGGGACTTGGGGACTTCTACTCTGTATGCGGCAAAGATGTTCCTGCACACTATCCCAGCCACATAGTTGTGCTTCTCACTGTATGCAGTCCCAACTTCCATCTTATATCCTGCTATCAGGCAACTAGGTTTCTTTCATTTCTAAAGAGGTTTAGTTGCTTTCTCTTTCAAGCTTTCACGGCTGTTCTTGGTCAAATGGGTATCCACTTAAACATATTAGCCTACAGAAACCAAAGGAAGCAGAAATAACACAGAGAATTAGCCAGAAAGGGAACAATGCAGTCCAAGGTAGAATTGATTTGTTGATGCTTCGTGACGGTATCGTCAATACTAGTTTGTGTCTTAAGTGCGGAGTTGTTTTAACTGAAAGATATTGTATTCCTATATTATTGTCCTCTCACACCTCACAAAAATGCTGTTACTGTATTTGTTTAATGAAATTAAAGTTCACCGTTCATGTAGGAAATTGTAACACTATGAATACAGCTTTAATTATGTGTCACCATGTGCAATCTATAAATTCTTCCTGAATCTTTATGAGCATAAATCCACAGTGAGAAACATCACTCCTACATAAGCACAGCATGAGAATAACCTCAGGCACACATACACATACACTCACTGAAGAAAGCGAACACACAAGAGGTTTATAGAGCCTCTGTTGGATGTTCAGTCTCATTAGAAGTGTTTCCTCATGAATAACATTATTCAGGATGAATCACTTGATTATAGATTTCTCTGTGTGTGCGCGTGTGGTGGCTATGTGGGTCGACAGCTTTCTCTGCATGCATCTGTCTGTGTCTCTGTGTGTGTGCGTGTGTGTGTGTATCTTGCCAGAATAAACAACAGTGGGAAGTGCCAGTCAGTGAAAAATGGGAACCACCTCTCCTCGCTCTCCTCCTATTGATTTAATCTCCAGCCCTTTGCCACTCGCTGCCAAATCTGTCTTCACAAAACACATCTAAGGACAATGCCTTCCACTTGGGTTTTGTTTGCAGGCCTCTCTGAAATAGGCCCAAATAACCATGGCAGGATATCAGAATATTTTCCAAGAGAGTAGTGATTTTCTTCACTGCCATGAGGATGGTTTAGCACCTGTATAGATTGTCTACCTGTAGTATCTACATATGTCCTTTTCACCTTCACTTCTATAAATGAGATCTTCTCTGCAGCTTTTTTTAACAAACATTCTTCCCATCAGAAAGTTTAATAAGGATGGTTGAGTTAGTGTAGATTACAGTGACGCTATTTTACTATATGTAACTAACCTGTTTAATGTGAGAGTTACATGGTATGAATGGGTTTTGTTGTTGTTTTGTTATACTTATATTTCCTAAAATTCTGATGGGGGCATTCAAAGACTGTTCCGCTTCTAGGTATTCTAGAGATTTTTCTCCCTGGCTTGCTTTGCCATGTAAAATCTCAGTGTGCAAGGTTTAGGGCATAGGTCTTATCCCTACTGATTGGAAAGCACCTCTCGTCTGGAGGTGCGATCATAACAGAGTCTGTCTGAACCCTGTGGATTTTCTCTGGTGGCAAGCTTACCTGAAATACAGCTTCCACTACTGGCAGCAGCCTGGCTGTCTCATCCAGGTTTGCTGCAATTACAAAACCTCTGGCAGTGAGTTGTTCTCATCATGTCCACATGGGAGGCCAGTAAATGAGAGCAACCGAGTAGAAAAAGAAAAAAAAGTTTGTTCCTTACGCACGTCTGCAGCCACTTCCCACTCTGCGCACACACCATCACCTCCCCCTCTCAATCTCATCGTGCTGGCAAATTAAAATTCACGGGTTGCCAAACCATCCATTCTCTCTCCGCTGCTTAATTGTCTCGAAAATTGAGGAGATTACTGGGTGCGATTTATGTACAAATAAGAATCTGTCAGAAACCTGGCAGTGTATACATTGACATACACACAGACTCGATGAGCCATGGGCAACGACCAGCTTGGCCTTTGTCCATTTTCAATTCTACCCCTTCTGCAGCATTTTGGGCAAGGTATGCTTGCAAAAGTTGGCACAACACTGTGGGAAAAGAATAGACACTCTCATAGACACTGAAAATCACACATTGGCATGTTTGAAATTTAATAACCATCCCCTTAGTGTATATCAGCGTTTCTGCTTTTAACGTAAATTCTGCCTTTGGGCATATGGTACATCATAACATATCAGCTCATGGATCCTCATTGTTACTCTATTTTATTTTTTTTTTAGCTCTGGCACAGAGTGGAATCAAACATCATTAGATTGCTCATGTAAATAGCAAAAACCTGCACATTAGTCATGCCGTATGTTTTACAAAAAAAAAGTTTAAATACAAATACATTGCTCGAATTGTATAGTTTCCATTAGTCACAGTCTCAGCGATTGGGCACATTAATCTCCTAACATATTCCCAAACTGGCAGCACTGGCTATAAGAGCAGAGCTTGAATTTGCCTTTCAAGTGCTTGTTGAGCTTAGAGCCAGTGGTAAAAGTCATTAACGCCAACGTTCATAAATAAGCACTCGTTTGTACAATCTGACCATGCAAATCTGAGAGATATTGATTCATTCTGATATAATAGCCAAAACAAAAGAATGCACTCTGTTGTACTGTAATAGTATGTTTATGTATGATATGTTTGATTACTTCATTGAGGTGCTACCTACAAATTTCTGTTAACAGTTATGAATCTCAATCACAGCAATTTATGTGATTTTTATTTTATTTTTTTTTACTGGCACAAATCATTATACTTTTCATACTTTTATATCACCATGCACCTACATCTGCCCTTAATTTTAAGGGCAGATGTAGGTGCATGGTGATATAGTCCCACATATGCAGCTATTGAATTTGTGCCTGTACTGCGCTGCTGGCAGTGAATAGCTGGATGGACGTGTAATAGAATTATCTGCTCATGAGAATGATTTATTATGTCAGCGTCTTATGAAAGCAATATTATGTCATATTCATGTCTACAGGTGCATATGGGTTTGTATGTAAATGTGCAGGTATGCTAAAAGCACCTGTTCTCTCCTGAGATTAAACCAAACGAGGCAGTGTGATCATAGCCTTAAAACTGTATGAATGTTATCTCACCTCTTAGACTGGTGTAGCTCAACCCCACCTATCCCCATCCCTCTACTCTCCTCCTGCTCCTATTTCTCGTTTCATTCCAGCCCATTCCAGCTAAATCCAATTTGTTATGGTTTCAAATAAGGCCTCGTTTTCTCTGTCTTCTCACCACTTCAAACAAAGTGGCTTACATTATTGCTTGTCCAATTTGAAATAGTTTTCCCCTATTTTTCCTGTCTCTTCAAGTCCACTCTAGCAGTGATGCACAATAGGCAGTGTAGGCTCAAGATATGTGCAGCACAAGGTGTAGAAAGTGAAAAGCCTTTACACAGCTTTATGGAGATATTATATTGTAGCTTTAGGACATGGCTGGCATTTTGCTTCACGCTGAGGTTGCCTTTCTGCTTTTATAATGATGCAAATTCTGATATCCTCTTTACCGGTGCACATGTTTGTGCACACGTGCCTCTGTACACACGGTAATGATGTTTTTTGTTTTCTTGTATTTGTTTTTTTGTTTTGTTTTTATTAAGCACACAAAAAAATGGGTAAAACATCCCAGTAACATTAAAATTGGGATTTTAAATATTAACCTTGACAAGTAAAACTGCAACAGTAAAATGTTTGTTTTGGGTTTGTTTTGTTGTGTTTTTTTTCTAAAGCATATCAGTTGTAAAGACAGAGCACAGGGTTGGTTTCCTAATTGTTAAGTAAATATACAGATGGAAGTGTTTTACTCCAACATTCTTGCTTCTATGAGTCCTGTTTTAATTGAAAACATGCTTATGGATACTGCCTTTGATTGCATTGCCAAGCATTTGGCAGTTACGGGAGCTTTTCTACAGTCTAGTTGTTGATTGATGGGAATTATACATCTAAAAATATCAAAGTGGTTTTAATGATGCTGATATAAATAATTAGAAAAATTCTAACGTTGACTTGATAGTGATAATGATGACAACATATGGTGATGTTAACTTGCATGCATTTAATTTATAGACAGCAGTGTCATGTATGTTGCATGCAAATGAACTTGGAGGTAAATATTGTCTTTATGTGCATCTGTTGTGTTGCAGGGAATGATGTATCTAGAGGAGCGTAGGCTCGTCCACAGGGATTTGGCAGCCCGAAATGTCCTGGTCAAATCTCCCAACCACATCAAGATTACTGACTTTGGGCTGGCTCGCCTGTTGGATGTCAATGAAAAAGAATATAATGCTGATGGAGGAAAGGTAAATCGTGACATCTCCTTTAGAAACAGTGTCAAATAATGAAATTTGGTTAATTTTAGGGGTTAAATCGACATTTAATTTCCTTCTGAGAATCTGAGTTGATGATCACTGCCACACTTAGAAAAATTAAGCCATGGAAAGCAAGCATTAAACAATGCTTGGGAAGGCTGGGAAGCCTTCTTTTGTTCTAGAGAGAACAATGAGTTTTTAAATCGTAGAAGACTGTTTCACAAGCAAAACAAGCCATCAATGCCACAGCTGAACATGTTCACCTTGGAAGTGCAGTGTACGAAATTATAGCTTCAAAAAACATAAATGAATAACTATGTTTTCATAGCTGAATGGGCTGAAGTTATCAGAGCTTGTGATTGTGAATAAGATCTATCTAACATTAGCAACATTTGAATGTATGAAGTTGAAGACTTGTGTTGTTTATATGGGCTATTTTTTTTCCCCTTTGGTCTGAAGTCTCCACTGTTTGTTTGTTCCTCTCTTTTGCTCTTTGTTTCACATTTTCCTTGTGTCTTTTGTGCTCTTTATCTGTTCCCCTATATGTGTCACACACAGAGCAGAGTAAAGCAGGCACACTCTCAGCAGAGGAGAGGAGAGGCAGGTGAAGTGAAGATAATGTTACTTGAGATGGTGACAGCTAGGAAGGAGAGTCATTTTAAAAGGGATGAGAAACTTTGCTTTGTTTTGGGGGGTTTTAAGCTCAAATAGCTACTATGTAGTGAGTTTTTGAGGTGCTGATTGCCCGATTGTGTTATCTTCAAAAAGACCCAGATCAGGCATTTAAGCTAAACTAATCTGCTGCTGGCTTTTGCTCTGTATAGACTGACTAAAGTCTCTTCTGACTGTCAGGAAAGGGAACGAGAATAATGCAAAAGCTTTCATTTAAAAATCTCAATTCCATTTGCATTTGAACCAGACATTTAACATATGCCAAAAATGTTTTAATATTAAGTCTGCTTTATAATTCTTTCCTTAACATTTACATGAAAAACGCAGTTTGAATGTTGGAGTGTGTAGAGGCTGCAGTAACCATCGTGTTAGTGCTTTTTGTTACTTTTGCAATTGGTCCGGTATGATCACTTGAACTTGTAATAAGGGCCCATCTACCTCAGTTATTTGTTGAATAAAGTGTTGGTTTAGGAGATACAATATTAATAAATAACCATTTTGAACCTTACGGCTGACATTTTGTAAAAGACAGCAATACACATTAACATTAATGAGGGTTTCATATTCTACAAGAAGAACTTAGCCCATCACAAAGGACAGTTTCACTGGAGTGAAATGCTATTCTGCTCTACTGGACCGTGTTATTTACCTTTGGGGATTTCAAAACCCTGTAAACATAGTAAACAAATATATCCTTGAGGCTGTACTTACACGGAGTTCTGACCTCTTCTAATCTTTGTTTATCCTTTGCCGCTTTTGTATTTTGTTTTCAAAACCTCTTTACTCAAGAAAGTCTTTTTCATCCCTGTCTCTTCCTCTCTTTCCAGTGTCTCCAACACGGTTTATATCAGTGACGATCACTGTAGTATTTCCCCCTCAGCTGAGTGAAAGACAAATTCTGATCTTCCATACCCCCTCCTCTCAGTTTCCATCACTGTAATAAATAGAATTTCATATCTAATTATAGTGTTAAGCTGCATATCAGATTGGCACGTTTTTGTCTCACCTTATTCCAGCAGTGCTGGAGCTTGTATATGTGTGTGTCCTCTTTTTCCCTAAAACTTTGTTTTCACTTACACTTCTGCTCACCAGTGTCGTTGATGTATCTTTGCCAAAATGGTCATTTATACACTGTCAACACCCAACTAGCTGATATTTAGTATGAAAACACTTGGAAAATTAGAGTTTTCCTTAAGTATAAGGGTACTAACATCTCCGCTTTTATTAACAGATGCCCATTAAATGGATGGCCCTTGAGTGTATTCATTACAGGAAGTTTACTCATCAGAGTGACGTTTGGAGTTATGGTAAGTGTCCTTTGAATATAACAATGACAGTTTTCTATATAATTTTATTGATAACAAAGGCACTGGTTGACCTTCATCCAATAAAATATAAATAGAAAAGCTGAAATTAAAAAAAATGGCCACAATTTTAATAAAGCACAGATTCTTATCACCTGTTTTGCAAAAGGTTTTATTGTTTCTTACTACTTTATTGTCATGTTGCCATCAATATACTAGAAACAGCAATGTCAGTTGCTAGACAGCATATGGCAGCATAATGTATCACATGTGTAATTCAACTTTTGTAGATATAAATGACATG